AAAAAAAAAAAAAAAAAAAAAAAATGGTTAAGAGAGCGATTGACGTCAGAGTTGTATTACAACTGAAAGTTTAAACAATTGTTAAAAAGAGCAATTTTGCAATTTTTAAGTAGTTTAGTTTAAGAAATAGAAGCCCGTGATCTTTTCTGGAAATTATAATAATTAATGACTCAAGACAGTTTTTCTTCAATACGAATGAATAATTAAAGACACTCAAGTCTTAGTTTCTCTTCCCTCGGGAGCAGGCACATTTGGAGAATCATCCATGTATTTAGAGAATAGCATGTCTGCAACGTAACTCTACTCGTCAAGAGTATCGTTTCGAAAAGTAGAACGAACTGTGTAGTTTGTTTGATGGAATTAGCGTCGCTGATAAATCGACTTGTTGTTGGTACGTTCGAATGATTCTCGCGTTGACGTTCCAACGCCGCGGACGCGGACATAGCGTAATCCGCGCTGCATGAAGGACGATTATTCGAGGAACACGATTCACAGGGCGAAACCACTTGAACTACTTGATCTCGCGAGGCTCTCGCCGAGTGTCAAGTGCACGGGCGATAGCCGATTGCTTCATGGAGATGCGTGCCGCAAATCTACGCTCGCCGGATGTTTAATATTGATGCAACGAACGTTGCGTCGCGCTGCACGTGGCCACAGAGACGAACGACAATCCCCTAGTGATTCTATACGTAGAGTCAGTTGGTTCAAAACCATTTTATTCACGAACTCTTTCTCTTAGAAGATAGAAAGGGAAATGAAAAATGGTCAAGGTGAAGTTTATGATATAGTATATGTACAGTGTCGTGCAAGCTGCAGAATTGTCTTCTATCGACAAAACTGTGAACACACGTGTAAATGAAAAAAGTTTTCACAGTTAATGGTCATAATTTGAAAATCGCGTGCTACTTTCATCGCGAGTGTAACTTATTCAGAGTCAGCGTGTATGGTAGATTTCACATTTTCCTTAATATAGTTAATAGATAATAATATGCTTTCTTTTTCTTTTTCCTTTAAACTTTCAATTCACGCGTATTCTTTTATTAGAACGACGTTGCTCGTTATGCAGTAATACAAGAAAATCATATCGAAAGGTCTACGTGTACACGCGAAATCCTCGAAATTTTAGATCCGATAGTGTGCATGTGTAGGTTGTTGAATACATTATGAATTTTCGTTTAACAACTATGAAATATGAAATATTCGTCCCGTTACGCTCAATTGAAACGTATTGCCGCTTCTCGTAAACCACCAGGAAACGCGTGGCTTCTATCATACTGCATGCATCTGTCACGAGAGGAATGGCTGAGGACGTGTCGCAAATCACAGAGAAATCTGCAAGATAGGAACGATGTTGATCCAACGCGATGTGCGTACGCATCGTGGTCCAATAACGTATGCATTTCCCCTTGGAAATGGTAGCCTTATCAGTATGTTTCGATTATTCGATGCTTTATCTCCGTAGCGACGAGGATCTATATATCGTTGTTACTTGAAAATTAGCGATATTATCGCGAGATACTGATGCTACGGAATCACTCGTGTTATCTTGCCAGACGCGTGTTGCCTCTTCATTCGAGATTGTTAAATTCTAGTTAGAATTCTTCTTCGTGAGTAGACTGAGAATTTTTATACATTGAGTTTTAGTTAGAGATACACGTAACGTGAAATATTCAGTGTGAAGTATCTGTCACGATCAAGCCTTTAAATTTTTATTAATACAGTCAAAGTATTTTATTATTGAATATTTTACACATCTTGCAGATTTTTTGGAGTCTTAAATTTCGAAGCTAAGAAAATACAATTATGACATTTAGAGGATGAAACAAATTTTTATTTAAGTTCCATTTCTAGTCTCTACTAAATGTTAATTTCATCCATCATTCATTTTCTACAGAGAAACAATGGTAATTTGAAGATTAATATTAGTATGCTATTTACCAAATTTCGTTAGTTATGTGCATACGTACCTTAACGTTTGTAAAAAAAAAAAAAAAACCATAGATTCAAAATTTAGTCTAAAAGAAATTCAAACGCTTCGACAAGCAGAATAAATTTGTCTCGGTCAATGAAAATTACGAATATAAATACCGAACGCCAAATTCAAACAGATCAATTTCAAGCGAAGAAATCTCGCGAAAGACCAAGCGTTGCGCGAGAGTAACACGTGGAAACCATAAAAGATCGCGTCTCGTTATGCAGATTTTAATTAAAAGCAGCGAAACAAATAAACGCGAGGACGAGAGGAACGCACGAATTTCGAAGGACGAGAAGACAAAGAAATGCACGGCCGGCTACTTCTCCCTATCGTTTTCGCGAATATGAAATATTTCTGGCTCTTTGAGCGAACAGTCGCTCCCGCGTCTCTCGGAGGAGGGAATAAGAGAGGAGACGAGTCTTTTCGTTTTAATTTTGCAAGACAAAAGGCGGGTGCGTGTGTTCCGCGGGTGGCTCGTGTTACCTCTCGCGTTAATTCCGCTTAACGCGACCCGGTTTCTCGCCTCTTTCACGCACCTTACGTGCGCGCACTTGCGTTACTTACGTTACTTTAGGATGTAATATATATGCTCGCCTTGGCCGAGCCAGCCAGGAGGAAGTATTAAGTTTAAAAGCAAATTTCTCGTCGCCTGAATTTATTCTCGACGCGTGAAATTAATATTCCGTCCAGCGCCCGGCAAGTTCTGCGTTTCGTCGTGATATTATAATAAGGAGATCGTCTTATTGTTCGAAAATTAATTTATTCGCTGGCTACTCGTTGCCCGAGCATCGCGGTAAAA